CTTCTCTGTTCAGAGAGTTGTTGCCACTGTCTTCTTCGATCTCCTGTTGAGTTCGTAGGTGTTCAGAATGGTTTGATCCCTATCCAGCTGAATTCCTGAGACCAGACAAAATCCAGGTCTCCTACTCCTCCGCCGTCTTGCTCCGCCTCCTGCCCACATTTTCTTAAAGTGAATGTTTAGACCTGTGTTCTCTCCAAGTAGAGCTCTTACCTGCTTCGTGGTCAGATTTCTTTAAATTTAAAACAAGTGAGTTTTGTGCAGTTCCGTGGCTATGACCAAGGCCCTTGCGCCTCACAGCAGGTAAATCACACGCCTTCTGTGGTCATCCCCCTTCCTTGTTACTTCAAAGTTCTCTTGAGACACAAATGAAAAAATATACATTAAAATGCAAACATACTGCCAGATCATTCTTGCTTAAAGCAGATGGGGCAAACATAGGTACTTGCTGAATCACAAAAGATGCCTTTCATTGGGCTAGTGTACCTTTTAAAAGTGGAAAAGAGTGGCCAACATTGAAAAGCCAGGGACATTTTCAAGAAAAAGGAAGAAAAGCCAGGGACGTTTTCAGTGGGTAGAGCAAGTGACTCTTGATCTCAGGGTTGTGTGTTCGAGCCCCACGTGTGGCGTAGAGTTTACCTTAAAAAAAAAAAAAAGTCAATTTCTAAGTTTTCTTGGAATCTGAAGATCTGGCCCCAGATCCCACATTCCCTCCAGCAGCCTGTTGCTGGAGCTGAGAGTCAGCCATCCCTCTCTGCAGGGGTGGGTTAACCATACCCCGCCACTCCAGCCGCTTTACCCCTGACGTTTATCATCACGTTTTTGCTGTCGTTTTTCATATAGTAAAGAGAAAAAGTGAAATATTTCTTGTCTCCATGTCTCTATCAAAAGTGGGAAAAAGAAAGATAGACCAGGAGGGCCGTGTCTTTCAAGAGAAGTGGGAGAGAGCGTATTTCTTCGTGGAAGTGCAGAATATCCCTACGTGTTTAATATGCAAACAAAGCATGTCTGTGTCCAAAGAGTACAACCTCCGGCGTCATTATCAAACGAACCACAGCAAGCACTACGACCAGTATACCGAGAAGATGCGAGACGAAAAGCTCCACGAGCTGAAGAAAGGACTCAGGAAGTACCTCCTGGGGTCATCCGAGATCGTGGGCCCTGAGCAGAAACAGGCGTTTGCAAATGTGAGCCCAAATGAAACTGCAGCCGTACAACCCATAGAAGACATGGCTGGGAACTTATGGGAGAAGTTACGTGAAAAAATCAAGTCGTTCGTGGCATACTCTATCGCAATCGATGAGATCACGGATATCAATAATACCACCCAGCTGGCCATATTCATCCGAGGCGTTGACGAGAATTTCGATGTGTCAGAAGAGCTCTTGGATACGGTGCCCATGACAGGTACAAAATCTGGCAACGAGATATTTCTGCGTGTCGAGAAGAGTCTGAAGAAGTTTAATATCGACTGGTCAAAACTGGTCAGCGTGGCCTCTACAGGCACCCCCGCCATGGTCGATGTGAATGACGGGCTGGTGATGAAACTTAAGTCCAAGGTGGCCATGATTTGCAAGGACTCGGATCTGAAGTCGGTTTGTTGCATCATTCACCCGGAATCGCTTTGTGCGCAAAAGTTGAAGATGGACCACGTCATGAGTGTGGTGGTTAACTCCGTGAACTGGATATGCTCCCGTGGGCTGAACCACAGTGAGTTCACGACCCTGCTGTATGAACTGGACAGCCAATATGGCAGCCTGCTCTACTACACCGAGATTAAGTGGCTCAGTCGCGGGCTGGTGCTCAAGAGATTTTTTGAATCGTTGGAAGAAATTGATTCCTTCATGTCGTCCAGAGGGAAGCCCCTGCCTCAGCTGAGCTCTCAAGATTGGATCAGAGACTTGGCCTTCTTGGTCGATATGACAATGCACCTGAACACTTTGAACATCTCGCTCCAAGGGCACTCACAGGTCGTCACGCAGATGTACGACCTGATCCGGGCGTTCCTAGCCAAACTGTGCCTTTGGGAAACTCACTTGGCGAGGAATAACCTGGCCCACTTCCCCACGCTGAAGTCGGTTTCCAGAAATGAAAGCGACGGCCTGAACTACATTCCCAAAATCGTGGAACTGAAGACCGAGTTCCAGAAGAGGTTGTCCGATTTCAAACTCTATGAAAGTGACCTGACCCTGTTCAGCTCCCCTTTCTCGGTGAAGATCGAGAGCGTGCACGAGGCGCTCCAGATGGAGGTCATTGACCTGCAGTGCAACACGGTGCTAAAGACTAAATACGACAAGGTCGGGGTCCCCGAGTTCTACAAATACCTGTGGAGTAGCTACCCGAAGTACAGAATCCACTGCGCAAAGATTCTCTCCATGTTCGGGAGCACCTACATTTGCGAACAGCTGTTTTCCATTATGAAACTGAGCAAAACAAAATACTGCTCGCAGTTAAAGGACTCGCAGTGGGATTCCATGCTCCACATCGCGACATGACTTACGACACAGGGGGGTGCAAGAGGAGAATCCTCTGGGCCCCAGGGATTGCAAGATGAGAAGACAAGTTATAAACTTTCTGTTTTCCAGTTTTTTCCACTTTGACTCGGAAATGTAACTTGCAGTATCCTACCCGTTTGTATGACATTTTATGCCTCACCATAGTCCAGTAAAGATCAAGACCGTTTTAGTGTATTTCTGGTGGTTGCTTCTCCTTATGGCTGGCGGGTTTCACTCACCCCCGAGGCCAGCACGCTGAAGTTTGAAATCAGCCAACAGAGAAACAGAGAGAGCGAGGTGTGTATTCGTGGAGGAGGGTAAATGCACACACATCTGTCTGCCCACTTTCTGCGTGGTGTCCCCTGTGATCTAACATGTTTGCAAGGCTGGGGACAGTCCCTTGGAGACACATTCACCAACCGTAGTACCCCTGTGTGATCTGTCTCTGCCTCCCGGCCAACCCACAAAAGTAGAAGTTGAAAAGGGAGAACTCCAGATAACAAATAACATGAGCTTTCAAAGACCAAGGCAGCTGAGGTTTGGAGGTTGTTTTGTTTTTTGTTGTTTTTTTTGGTAAGCTTTTTTTTTTGAGGGGCGCCTGACTGGCTCAGTCAGTAGAGCATCTGACTCTTGATCTCTGGGTGGTGAGTTTGATCTCCATGTTGGGTGCGGTGATGACTTAAGAAATAAATAAACTGTATTTTGAAATAATTTCAAATTTACAGAGAAGTTGCAGAAACGAGAAAGGTATGAAGAACACTTACATGTCCTCTTGGCAAATTCTCATTGAAATTTTACCCCTGTGCTCTCTCCCTTGTTTGCTTGGCCTTCTTCTCTCTCTCGTGTGTGCACGCGTGTGTGTGTGTGTGTGTGTGTGTACCACATTGCCTGTGGGCCTGTATACCTGAATGTCTGAGTATAATGTGTGTATAAATGCATGCGCCTAATTTTTTTTTTCTGAACCATTTGAGGGGGTTACATACATCCTTTCCCCCTGACTACGTTAGGGAATATTTTCCAAGAATAAGGATATTCTCTAACCATGACTTACTTAGTGACCAGCTCCAGTAAATCGAACACTGATGTAATACTTTGATCTCGTTTAGCATAAATGACACTGTGCATGGTGTCCCTTGTGTTCTAACATGTTTGCAAGCTGGGGACAGTCCCTCGGAGACTGTCCTGATGTCCTTCCCTTTATAGCACTTAACCCCCGGAGAGCTGGCATTTGAAAGCGCGAGCGCGCGCACACACACACACACAGTGTTCTTAATCTGTATTAGCCACTGGAATTAATGACCCAAAATTGTGAATACTTTCCAGGTTGGAGGAATTAATCTGACTAGGGAACAAAAAGGCTAAAGATCCCGACCTGGTGATGACCCATTCAGGAAGCAATGGACAAAACACTTTGATAAAAATGAAGGGAGGCTGCAGGAGAGAGAGACCAACCTCCTGGCAGTTTCCTGCGCCAGGCACCTGCCCCCAGCTGAAGCCCCAAAGCATGTCCTCAGACACAGGGAAAATGACCCCAGCCTGGCTGTTCCTGTCCTTGGGGGGTGGACTGCAGGTACAGCTGGGTCTGGCTAGCTCAGAGGCTCACTTCCTGCGGGGAGGAATGGGCTGGTTTACAACGGGGTCAGGGGAGACCCACTCCCGGTGTACCTGAGCAGATGCCGACACTGAGTATCAGAGGTCGCTGTGTGGACTCTGCAGGGAAAGGTCAGCCCCCTCATGTGATAGACGGAGGGCTAGGGCTCAGAGTGATTAAGTGACCTGCCAAGGTAACACAGCAGAGACGGGGTCAGGATTCAAACTAGGTCTGCGTGACTCCCAAGTCCATGTTATTCCATGACAGGAGGCTGTCATGCGTGGCTTTCTGGTGGTTAGCCCATCGGATGATGCTGAGGGGACAGCAGAGTTCAGCCTGGGCTGCCTTCTGTGACTCGACTATTCATGGGCTGTTCTGCTTTGAATCAACTCCTACGGCTTCCTTCTTTATCCTGCAAGTGTGTTGGGACCGTGGTGGCCCAGCACCGTCACTCAGATGACAGAGCCAAGCCTGGGAGAACTGACTGAGCAAGCAGGTGGTTTTCTGGGGTCGTCGATTGATGGGGTGTCTGCAAATGAGAGCACTTAGGAGCGGGGTGGTGGGGCCCAGGCCAGGAGCCAAGGGCTGTATTTGGTGGTCCCCATCAGTTTCTAGGAGCCAAGAGTACACAGCATTTCCCCCCAAGGCCCTGTCTTCCTATCCCAGGGTGGACAGAGGACACTGGTCACTCCTCCAATACAGGCCTGGGGTGGGGGTGGAGGGGTTGGAGCTCTGGAAGCCAGGCCCCTGTCACCTCCCTCCTCTGAGCACCCATTGGCCATAGCACCTGCCACTTGGCCTGAGCCACAGAGCAGGAACTCTGCGGGGTCAGGAGAATGTAATGAATCTAGTAGGGCTTTGGAACCAAAAAGAAAAGCTCTGTCACCCACTTGACATATTACCCTAAAAACTTGCTTACATTTTCTGAGGCTTGGTTTCCTCCACCATAAACCTACCTGCCAGGGTTGTTCTCAAACCAGAAAAAGGTAAAGAAAGAGCCCAGCATTGTGCCTAGCCTCAAGAAAATCGTCTGCACACACACTGCAGCCGTAACTCAGACGCAGGCCCGCCCAGGCGTGCCTGCCCGGTGCTCTCTATTGGCTCCCCTGAGGGGACAGCAGAGGCCCCCCGGGCAGGCCCCCAGCCCTCAGGCCCACGCACCATCCGGGCCTCCTCCTCAGCACGAAACAGTGGGGCCAGCGCAGGGCCACCTCCAGGGGACCAGAAATGCAGAAAAATGTGAGGAAAACGTGGGATCGGGACCTTAGCTTGGAAAAAATGAAACTAAAAATTATGAAAATCAGTATTTTATCTCACACAGTTTGTTTTTTTAATTATACTTGCAACTGAACAAGCAAAGGGGTTGGGATGGTCGGTGATTAATTCTCCCACAGCTTTGCATGATAGCGTTTGAGGGGCTGGATTTTTCCAGCAAACTGAGTGTGCAAAAAGCAAATAAAGGGCCCAGTGATGTTCTCAAGGCCTCTTTCAATCGTTGCGCTGGTCAAATTATTCTCTTGAGAAGCATCAGGCCCCTTATCTCGAAGGAACCAGCCTTGTCCATCCGCTTGTGCCACCTCCCACATAGGTGGGGTAGCTGCCACCCACCGCCTTCCTGATAAACTGCCGCTTTAGCAAGATTTGCAGCTCCAGGTTGCACCCTGGTTGGTGTCTTTGCATTTTGCAAAAGATCCACCGGCAACAAAGACTTTGAGCCATGGTCTGGCAGCAGGGCTGGTGGGGGCGGTGAGGGTCTGTTCATGAATAATTGCTTTCTGCTACAACCTCGTAACTGGGCAGCGAATAATGAGAGGTGCTCCCTCCCTATACCTAGATGACAATTTTTCTTTGTCACCGAACTAGGGTGCACACACCGCGTGCTGTGGCACCCTTCTTCAGAACTCACCTTCAGTGGGACCAAAGTTTTAGCAGGCAGCTTCTGTCCAAACAGCCAGCGCGCGGAGGGGGGTTGGTGCGGGGGGTTCCTATTGCATTTGGCCCCGCGCAAACTTAGTCTCGGCCAAGGCCAGGGCAGTGTGCAACCGGACCTTGGTTCTTGCAACTTGCCCCAACCTCCCGCCCCAGCAGAGCTCACAGCCCTCAGTCCTAATTCTATAAACACCCCCAAGGGCGAGCCCAGCCCAGCCCGCCCGGCTGCTCCGCAGGACCTCTGTCCACTCCAAGCAACATTTATTGAGAGCGCTGAATAGTTAGCCGGGCGAGGCCGGGACTGCCAGAGGCATCCAGACTTCTGGATCTATACACGTGCATACAGGGATGGGGCGGGACAGGGCGGAGAGGCCAGGCCGCCATCTAGGGGAGGCGGCCCGGCCTCAGACGGCGGACGCCAGCTTCCGTTTGGTGCTCTCGCTGCAGCGGTGCAGGATGAGGTCCGCGCTGGGCCGCGGTGGCACCGCGGGCTGTGGCTTTGCGCTCTCGGTCTGAGGCTGCTCCCCTACGGCGGAAAGCGCGGCCGGGTGAGAGGCCCCGTCCCACCCTTCAGTTCCCACCCCCCGGCCCCGCCTCCCCTCACCGCCCAGGCCCCGCCCCGGAAAGCCCCGCCTCCAGACCGCTACGGACACTCACGCCGCGGGCTTCCAGCACAGGGCGGCCCGGGCCGCCCCGGGCCCCGCTTCTAGCCCCGCCCCGTCTTCAAGGCCCCGCCCCAAGAAAGCCCGCCCCCAGGCCGCTGCCGGCACTCACCGCGCGGGCTGGCGGCTCTCCGCGGGCCCGGGCACGCCCGGCCACGCCCATGGCCACGCCCCGTTCTCCAGGCCCCGCCCCCGCCCCCGGGCACCGCCCGCACTCACGGCGCGGGCTCCCTGCTCTCCGCGGTCCCGGCCGCCCTTGGCGTCGACGCTGCTCCAGAAAACGAACACTGTTGCGCCGATAGGTGTCCTGGCTGAGGCGCTTCCGCGACCGCTGGTGGATGCTGTGCGCGTTGCGGATGGACGACCTGGGCGCAGCGGGACGGGGGCGTTGCTCAGCGCCCGGCCGTCCCCGCTGCGCCCGCGTCCCTGCTTGCGGGGACGCGCATGACAGGCGCTGGGGTCCAACGACTGGCCCGGGATAGTGCGGAGCGGGGCGGGGACCCCGCACGACGGGGCGGGCCATGCATGCCACTCCCCCGCGCCAACACGGACTCCTGGGTGGCAGAGCCCAGGTCCATTTCCCACGCTCCTCGCCAGCCTTCAGCCCGGCCCCTCCCCAGGAAGCCCTCTGGACTGCTGCAGCCCTCATGGGCCGTCCCCAAGGACGCCCGGCATCGACGTCTTCACCTCCACCTCACCCTGCTGTCCCTGCTGTCCCACCGCCCCCGTGCCAGCCCCACGATGTGGGAGGGCACGTCCTGCCTCGATCCAGTGAGGGTGCTGTCTACCCCGCCTGCTGGGGAGCTCCCGTCCCGAGCCCCCTCCCCAGCACTGCCAATCCAGGGCCTGGACCGACAGAGGGGACCCGTCGTACCTCCTCCTCAGCCCCGTCCAGTCCCGGGGCCCTCGCTCACCTGCGGGGCGGTGCCCCTCGGCTCTTGATCTGGCGTTGGGCCTGGGCTATATCCTGCCCGGACTTCTGTAGGTACATGGATGGGAAGTAGCCTGTGATGTCGTCTTTCCTGCAACAGAGGCAGCCCTTGAAGCCCCCACAGTCACAGGGGGGAGTAGGGGCCTCAGATGTAGGGGGCTCAGGGATCTCTCTAAACAGTTGGGGGTGGGGCGCCTGAGTAGCTCAGTGGTTAAGAGTCTGCCTTCCGCTCAGGTCATAATCCCAGGGTCCTGGGATCGAGCCCTGCATGGGGCTACCTGCTCAGTGGGAAGCCTGCTTCTCCCTCTCCCACTCCCCCTGCTTGTGTTCCCTCTCTTGCTGTGTCTCTCTCTGTCAAATAAATAAATAAAATCTTTAAAAAATTAAAAAAAAAATAAACAGCTGGGGTTGAGGCAGTCGGGAGTTGCAGACACCCTGAAGCCTGGCCAACACCAGACCCCGTCCCGCTGGGCCTCAGTTTCTTCATCTGTGCAACATAGGCGCCCCCAGCCATGATGTTGGTAGTGGGAGAAATTAGCAGGTCCAACTTGCCCCCCCCAACCCAGAGACATATGTTTGTAATAACACATCTGCAACAGTGTATTTGTCAGCTTTTTCTTTTACAGGGTGTCTAAGAAATCTTTGTCTCCCTCCGGGTCACCAAGTTCCCCTATTCTTTCTTCCAAAAGCTTTTTAGTTTGGGGTTTTGTGCTTGGTCAAACCCGTGACGCATCCTGAATAAATGTGCGTGGTGTGAGGGAGGGGTCTACGTGCCTTTCCTCCATGTGGACGCCCAGCTGTTCGGGCACCACTTGCTGAAAAGACTTTTCTCTCCATTCTCACTACTATAATTTGGGAGTGAGAAAAACTTTGCATTTTACAAAGTTCACTCAGTAAAACTCTGATCCTTCTTGGCTGGTGGGAGAATCACAGCAGATTCTTAGGGGTACATGATGGGTGGTTAAGTGAAGGTCAAAAAGGTTAAGAAGTATCTTCCTCCCTCAGAGCCTCCAACCGGGGGCCATGCTGATGGTGGGTGCTGTGGCCACGAGCTCACTGGGGCCCTATGACTCGAGGCTCTGAAAGGGTGTACAAGGACCTGGGGGGGCCGCCCAGTGGGTCCGAGAAGATGACTCTACAAGCCCCCAGGGTTCTGCTCTCCCCAGGAGGAATGACCAGATAAGAATCAAGGACAACCGAAGATTTGAAAGGAAAAAGGATGGCAGGGTCTGCTCTACCAGTTCTCAAGAAAAATAGTTAACGCAACAATTAACTGTGTTGTAGAAGGAATAACAGATGGCGAGTGACCCTAAGTCACAAAGAACAAGGACACTGGACCCTGAGAGCCAGGTGGGGTGGGATAGTCATTGATCCGCTACCAAAATGGAAACTGAGTCCGGAGAGAGGTGGTGGCTTCTCCAGAGTCCCACACCTGAGTCAGCACTGAGCCCAAACAGACCGGGCCCCAGGCCAGGGCTGACACTCAGGGCGGGCACAGCGGGGAGGGAGGGGCGCTCTCCTACCTGATGACCCACCAACCATCCAGGAGCTTATGAATGACCTCAATGGCTTCGCCCTCCTGCAGAGACACTTCATCCTCCATCTGGGCAGTATAGGCTTTGATGGAGACATAGGGCTCACCTGGTCGGCCGTGGGGGCAGGGGCACGGTGTGAGGGTCCGCCCAGCGCTGGCCTGCCTCCCCTCCTCTCCTCTTTGGGCCCCAAGGCTTTCTCCAGCTAGAGCCCAGGACCACCCTCCCCCCCGCTCCCTGCCTGCTCCTTACTGGTCTCCCTCTGCAGGCTCCGGCCACCCACTCTTGGGGCACCCTGGAGTTCCGCCCTCTGCCCACTACCCGTGGGGGAGCTGGCCCATCCCACCCCCCACCATCCACATCCGGGGCCAGGCACCTAAATAGGACACTTGGCCAGGCAGGCGGTGCAGGGGTGGAGCACCTGTCCACACGGCACCTGAGCCACTTGACTCCAGCGTCCACACCTTTTCCAGTTTTTCCAGAGATGCCATAAATCCTCATAGAGTTGTGGAATCTCTCCACTTTAAAATACGGGCAATCAACTCTAACTTACTTACTTAGCTCCAGCCCGCGGGCTGCCGGTTCTCCCCTCGCAGTCAGCGAGGATGCCCCTGCCTGCAGGCAGCGCTCCTTCCTGAACCTCAGATCTGCTCCTCAGTTGGCTTCCCACTGGACCTGGCCCGGGCTGGACCCACCTCTACTCTACCTCCTGGTTCTCTGTCCTGACCAAGGGCACCACCTCCTACCTGGGCCCCTCAAGCCAGACTGTGGGGTCTCCAACCTGACCCCACTGTGCACCCCACAATCATATCCCAACCCCAAAGTGGATATGATTGCATCTGGCTTCTCAATATCCCAGGGCCCCTCTGGTCCCTTCCCCTCATATCTTTATGGCCATGGAGGGCAGGGCCGCACCTTCGTAGTTGGGGTCTGGGTCCTCTGTCTCATCAGGACTGTCCAGGGGCTCCAAGTAGGACGCTGGGACCCAACCTCGCTTTGTCTTCATTTGGCAGAACCACCAGCCTGTGCAGGGACGGGAGCGGGGGGGGGGGGGGGGGGGGAGAGGTGAGGCAGGAAGTCTGGGTGGGTGTGGCAGCCTCCCTCGGCCACCAGGCTGGTAAAGACACCCGAACATAGACACAGACATCCAACATTCAGATTCAGAAATGTCACCTTCACCACACTCCACGCACACAGGTTACAGGATTACAGCTCAGAATCTGCTTCCCACACAGCACACCCAGAAGCTCACCTGGCCTCCCGGACCTAACCCCCGGGGACGCACAGATGCCCACAGCCTCCCCTGGGGGGTGCCCTCAGCGTGGGGAGGCCAGTTGGGGTCCCCGGAGGAGCCACAAGCCTGTCAGTGGACCAGGCGGGGAGGAAGCCGGGGGCTGTCTGAGGGTCAGAGCCTTGGTAGGGGGCTTGAGGTCCCAGCAGGGCAGGGGGACTGACCACTTTCACTCTTCTCCACGACGTCTACCACATCACCCGTGGCCAGAGCCATCTGGGAGCCCGAGGTCTTCTCAAAGTCAGCGATGGCCCGGTACGTCTGCAGGATGATGGGGCCCGTGATGTCTGGACAGAGGGAGGGCAGGGTGAGTGCACAGTGCGGGGATGGGCTGCCTCCTCCAGGCAGTCCTCTGCGCGGGCCACCAGAACCAGGCGCGCTGCAGGTAGATGGCCCCTGCCAACTAGAAAGCAGCAGAGACCAGCTGGTTTCACAGCCCCACATTCATGGAGCACCTAGTGTTCCATATACTAGTCACACACAGTATGACTGTGTGTGTTCCAGTATATTCCAGATACTAGTCACACACCTTACACACCCTCTTTCTCACTTGATCAGGTTAGTGAGCAGCCCTCCTGTGCCCTAATGTGCACACCAATCACCCCAGGATCTTGCTGGAACACGGGTTCTGATTCCATAGGTCGGCAATGGGACCTGAGAGTCTGCACTTCTAACCAGCCCCCAGGTCTTGCTACTGCACCATGTTATAGACTGAAATACCTCTCTTCTCCCCTCCCAAAAATTCACATGTTGAAGCCCTAAGCCCCAGTACCTTAGAATCTGTATTTGGAGTTAGAGCCTTTAAGAAGGTGATAAGGGTGGGGCCCTGACCCCATAGGACTGGCGTCCTTATAAGACGAGCAGGAGACACCAGGGGGGTACGTGCACAGAGGGAAGGCCGGCTGAGGGCACAGGGAGGAGGCAGCCATCTGCACGGCCGGGGGGAGAGGCCTCGGCAGAGCCCGACCCCGCCCACACCCTGCTCTCGGACTCCCAGCCTCCAGAGCTGTCAGAGAACTCATTTCTGTTGTTTAAGACCCTCCCTCCCCCCTCCCCCGGTCTGCGGTGCTTTGGCCTGCATAGACTAAGACACTGCTGGTCCCTGGATCACACGTTGAGAGGCCCATAGCCCCGTCCGGGCATCCCACTCACTGGTTGAAATCCTGCTCCACATTTCGTGGCTGTGTGGCCCTTGACCTGAGTCCCAGCTTAAATCAAGCTTCAGTGTGTCCAGCTGTGAAATGGGGCTAATAGCACTTTGGTCCCTACTTCATATTTGTTTAGAGATGATTACATGTGTTAATATGTACAAGACACTTAAAATAGGGCCTGGGGGGCGCCTGGGGGGCTCAGTCGTTAAGCGTCTGCCTTCGGCTCGGGTCATGATCCCAGGGTCCTAGGATCGAGCCCCGCATCGGGTTCCCTGCTCGGCGGGAGGCCTGCTTCTCCCTCTCCCACGCCCCCCTGCTTGTGTTTCCTCTCTTGCTGTGTCTCTCTCTGTCAAAGAAATAAAATCCTTAAAAAAAAATAATCATTTAAAAAAAATAAATAAATAAAATAGGGCCTGGGACAGAATAAGTCCTTAATAAATGTCAGGCTGTATTATTAACAATTATCGTGCACAACAGATCAGACACCGTCAGGCCCCTCTGCCCCCAAACATGTTCATTCAGTCAGCCACGACACCGCGGGCTATTGGGAGCCGGGGTCGGGCTGGGCTCTGCAGCCACAGACATGAACTTCGAAAGCTTCACTGACCAGTGACCCCCCCCCCAAGATCCTCAGTCTTTAGTGCAAGCCACCAAGATAACTCCCCCACCACCCCGGCTCCTTTGCCTGCACGGCCTGTGCTCAGGATCCCCCATCACGTTCCCGGTCCCCGCAGAGTGACCTACAGGTGGCTTCCTCCGGCTCTCACCTGTAATGCTCTTGTCTTTAGGCACCAGGTAGGTTTCTGGCTTTTTCACTCTGCAGGAAAGAAGAGTCTGGGTTAGGCTTGCGGCTTCCCACTGGGGAAGCAGAGGCTCCCGGCAGACCTACAGAAGAACTTCCCAAGAGGAAAAGGAACGTGGGATGTGGGGGCCGCTGCGGGGGGAAAGGGAGCCACGGGGACATGCAAGGAAAGCCCCCCACCCCCGCCTTCTGCAGACCCAAAGAAGGAGCCAACTTTTTTGGGGTTTTTTTTAGAGATTTTATTTATTCATTTGACAGAGAGCGAGAGAGAGAGAGAGAGAGAGAGAGAGAGAGAGAGAACACAGGCAGGGGGAGCTGTAGGCAGAGGGAGAGGGAGAAGCAGGCTTCCCGCTGAGCAGGGAGCCCGACATGGTGCTCGATCCGAGGACCCTGGGATCATGACCTGAGCCGAAGCTAGCCGCTTAATGACTGAGCCACCCAGGCGCCCCAAGGAGCCAACTGTTAAAGAGAACACAGGTGATGCACTCCGGTCTGGGAAAGGCTCTTGTCACCTCGGTGGGGCCAGCTCCCGTCTTCTGGGGGCTCAGGAGAGTGGCCGACAGGGAGGGGGCATCCCCACCACCCAGGCCCCTGGGTGCTGCACTGTCCTGCCCCTGGGCCAGGGGGGATGCTCAGCAGTGCTGTGTGTTCTCCAGGCCTCACCAGTACTCAGCAAGCAGCAGGGGACAGAGAGAGGGACCTTCCCCAGCAGGACAGCACATTCCCCTGAGACCTCCCTCAGCTTCTCAGATGCTTTCCAGGCTGGGCCCTGAGTACAGGAGTCCCCTGGCGCTGGGGCAGGCAGACGATGAGGGGGCAAAGCGGAGGCGTGCTCAGCGATTAACAGTGGCCACGAGGGAAGGCCGGCTGAGGGCACAGGGAGGAGGCAGCCATCTGCACGGCCGGGGGGAGAGGCCTCGGCAGAGCCCGACCCCGCCCACACCCTGCTCTCGGACTCCCAGCCTCCAGAGCTGTCAGAGAACTCATTTCTGTTGT